GAATTTATGGAAACGGAACTTGTAAGACAGCAGGGAATTGCAATTTTTGGTATTCATTGACAAACAGCTTTAGTGGTGTAAAAAGTTCGTTTATGATGGTTCGAAAAGTGAATTGAAGATTACTTGACAGATACTTTTAAAAATTCTATTCAATATTCACTTTTATAAATTTGTCGAGCTGTTTATTTTACATTTAAGAATTATTATGGTGATCTATAAAATAGTATATATTTCTTAAACAAAATTGTAATAAGTCCTATGGATAAGGTTTTTTGTTTCCACATACAATAATTTATTGCACATTATAAAGTCTGTAGTGCGTTTGCTTGGTACAGTATACATGTACATGTATATGTTAAAAATTGACTTTTAAAAAACATCGCAGATTTTTTATTTAGAATTGTCACGTGACGTCGACGTCACATGATTTTAGCATTATACTTGCAGTTTAGAGGTCATATAAATTCCAATATTGCAAGGGCATAACCAAGTTAAAAATTTTAATTTATAATTTAATTTATACTCCTTTTCAACCCTTTATGTACTTTGTGAAAGTGCTGCGAACCTGTACAGATTCCTTTTTATTAATTGCTAAAATTAAATTTGTTGGACGGCAGGTCGAATATTTTGCTGGTTAACTACATTAAATATACATGTAGCTATAATTAATTATTTGCAAGATCTCGTTAGGTTCGCCGCACTTTTCAAATATCTTAATATTTCTTGAGTTCATGTGTAAAAACTTGACAAGATACATTGAGGGTATACCCTTGCAATAAATCGATTTATAAGGACCCTTCCATTACGTTTTCATTGAATCTGCATACAAACACACGACAATATCACTTGTCTGGAGAATGTACGGACAATTTATAAATAAAATACTCATATAGACATCGCATCCAAGTTAACGGCCTTTTATTTAATTGCAAATAATATCTTATTTGAGAACAAGACATTTTTCATTGTACAAAGTGTGACTTGATCAGCCTCTAACTGTTACAAACTGCGTCATTTTTGCGAGATGACGTCACATTGACAAGTGCATTGCAATATTTGATATCGCAATTACTTAACTTAGCGGAACTCTTTTGCAATAGAGGTAGGAAACATCTGTTGGCTAGGGACAAATGTGCTATTGAATACAATGCAAGATCGATCATTGTAAAATTTATAAGGACAGATAAGTAAAAAAATCCAGGTGGAGTACCTTGCTAAACAATCGCTGAACCAGCTAGCTGCAGATCTGTAGCTCTCCGAAAAAATATACATTGATAGACCGGAGAGCTACAGAGCCACCCATTGAAAAAAACTGTATATTTATAGCGCACAAATAATGCGCTCGGTTCTCGGTTTATTTCTCCATGTTTTTAAAACTGTAATCTCAAAATATTACGAACCATGTGTTCCTACCATATTCTTTGACTCTTTCCACAACAAAACATTCCTTATAATTGTTGTTAATAGTCCTCCTGCAGTGGCGTAGCATCGTTTTTGAAAGTGGGGGGGGGCCAGCCAGAGAAAATATTTTTTTTTACTTACCTGAAAAAGTTGACAAGCAAAACAATAAAAGGAAGAAGTTGCTAAAGTCGAAAATCCTATTCCGAGGGGGGGGGGGGGGGGGGGGGGGGGGGGGGGGGGGGGGGGGGGGGGGGGGGGGGGGGGGTGTGGGGGGGGCACAGGGGGGGTGTAACTACATTTTCGGTACATCATTAAAAGTGGGGGGGGGGGGGGGGGGGCCAGCAGGTTTTAAAATAAAATTTCCAATAGTATAAGTAAGGTTGGGGAAAAAAGTGGGGGGGGGGCACCCCCCCCCCCCCTGTTGCTACGCCCCTGTCCTGAGTCCTGACCCTGATATTGTAATCATCGAACATTTCGCTTATTTGTACTGCCATTTTGGTTTCAAAGATAATTCGCTCCAATATGCTTCGTTCAGATGTCAACTACGAGCGAACTTGATAGAGAAGAGAGGAATTTTTTGACATCTATTATTTGCAGTTGAGGTAAGAATTTGGAAGAATTAATCAAGAATCTTTTTTGTGCGCAATAAATATATAGTTTTTTCAATGGGTGGCACTGTAGCTCTCCGATCTATCAATATATATTTTTTCGGTGAGCTACAGATCTGCAGCTATGAACCAGCCTAGTTAATTTTTCAGAGGAACTAATCCTAAAATGTTACATTTTTCACGATATTTTAAAATAAGCGGGCTCTTCTAAATAAATTTTCATTGAAAATCGCCGCATTTTAAAGCTGACAAAATAATCTATACTTTCCTTCTTTGACAAGCTACTATTCGGAATTCAATTTTTGACAATACATTGTACTTTCGGCAAAAAATTGTTCAAATCATTCGATTGTCATGATCACCACTGTAAACAATGCCATGTGCCCCAGTAATCTCGTGAGATTTGAGCTTTCTCGACTCCTTTGCAAAAGAGCGGTAGCAAGTTACATAACTGCGAGGTACTCGCGATATTACGTATTGATGCATCGTTAATATACTGTTCTGTTGGATTTAACAAACGACAGAACTGCATGTAATATTAAGTTAATTTGTATATATAGTATACAGCTATCCAGCTGTTTTCAATAGCAAATAATTCCATTTTGTAGCATTTTGAAGAAGGTCTTCAAAATACTACAAAATGGATAACCTGTATGTGTGACGTCATAATAAACATTTCCCGTACAAACTAGGCCCCGCCTCCTTACTTTAACCTTAACTCTGCTGCATGCTACAATTATAATTATACAATTCATTGATATTAAATGATGCACTGTCCATGCAACTTAATTTTTCTTAAATATACTGAAGTCTAAACCAAATGACACGAAAGAAACTGGATTAAATAAAGAAAATAAAAACAAAAGATTAATTGATTGTTGTTTTACTTCGTATAAAGAAGAATTAAGTCAACATAAGGCGGTAACAGATTCAGGCGCGTGGCATTGGTAACAGCGTTTTCTCGATAGTCTCGGAGTAAGGATTAAATCCTTACGTTGTGTGTTCGAACCCCATACGGGACGTGGAGGCCGGTCCGCCGGATGAGGCCGAATAAACAGAAGTCCCGTGCCGCACTAAGAGCTGCCACGAAAAAAGAATCCTCACTGCTAAATGACCGTAAGAACATGTACTGAGCATAGGACACAATTTCCAGCTCTCTACTGTCAAGTGGTGCCAAATGAGTAAAAATTAATTCTCGAGTAGGACGTTAAACAACAAACAAAATATACTCGGCTCTAAGGGCCATTGAACATCGAGGGTTCTTTATCGTCATGTTTTAACCGACATATAATAGGGCCTTTTCTGTAGCAATGTGCACAATGTATATTGATGTAACTCACCTTTCATTTGAACATTCCGCTCCCCATCCCCAATCCCTTAAGGTCAAGATCTAGAATATAAATATAAAATGCCTTTTTTCAATGCTCGCTCTATCATGGCGCAAAAAATGATTTCAATTAATTTCGTCATTTTAATTCTCCTCAGTTAAGGGCAATAGAATATAAACTTGATAATTGATTGAACTAAATAAGAAAAATACGCTTTTCCTCATTTTTGATTTTTTTGAAGAAAAAATCATTTCCATCGGAAACACAGATCGATATCTGATTTGTTTTCAACCAATATGTGCTTGACATCATTGCATAAGTGCATATGACAGATAAGACATAATACCCCAGAAGCAAAGATATTTCAAAGTTTGAATAACAATCAATAATGTTTTATGTAAGACTGTGCCACTTTCTATTTTGAACAAGGAACAATGACAGCTGTTTGAATAGTAAGTACAGTATCAGACATTGTAAAATAGTAATCTTATTTCATCTAAATACAATTAATTGGTTGTCTTAATCTTCTTGAATACCATTGTCATTTTTGATACAATAGCAATGTTTTTATTGTTATAAATAAAAATCAGACACAGTTTAAAGTCATTTTAACTAAAGAAACGTGGGGATATTAAAGTTCAAAAACTGTGAACGTAAATAGCAAATATCATATAAATCTACAGATAATCCCGGTTTTTTAGTTTAGGTACATATAGCTTTAAAGTATTTAATTAAAATTTTTCTTCTCCATTTTAATATACGGAATAAAACGAAAGATGCATAATTATATTAGTAAGATTTTTGCACGCTTTCTATTCTAAATATCAAAATAGGACCGTAAACTTAATATTAATTTTCCCACTTTTTCTTTTGTCAGTAAACTGTTGTACTTTCAATTTTTTCTTATAATTTGCTCAAAAGACTTCTTTATGTTATTAAAACTTTTTGTGTAACTTTTTTTTTTTGGTTTATTCTGAATTAGATGTAGGGGGAAATAGATAATGAAGCGCTTAATAATCGAATATACTCGTAAAAGACTTATTCATTTGGGAAAAACAAAAAAAAATTTTGAGACTTAAAATTTTACTTCCGAATACAACGTTTATCCGCTCAATATAAAGTGCTTAGGGTGAGTATAATTACTGGAAAACAATAGTGATGTTTCCATGGCTCTAATAAAAATATTCTAGAGGTAACAAAACTTCAAAGAAGTTAACTGTATGATGGTTTCAAGATTTGTTTTTTCAAAAGTAATTTAAAGCCTTCACTGAAGTAGTTCCAAGTTTTTTTTACGTGGATTTCTGACTGGGCCATGTTATTGAATTTAAGAGATTTATGCAATGAAAATCTCTTAAAAGTTCTAAAAAGTAAGTTTTTATTACGTAACAAAGTATTTTCCTTAGTAGACCTAGGTATAATATCCTTACAAGTTTTGTTAGGGTGCTCCGTGTTTTATCGTGTTCACAATATTCTTCATTTAATAAATAAGATTGATTAATGCTTGTCATTTTCCCCCTTTCTTATCAGGTATCTTAAACTTTCTCTTTGAATAAACATAGCTTATCTCATAATCAAACTGCAAGTTATCTTTTGCAAATTCATATCCACTTGAAATTACTGATTAGATAAATCGAGTGTGCAACAGGATTTTTTGCTTGTATTTTGCAGCTGTCAGTGATATTTTAACACACACTCATCTTTAGAAAATCTTGGATACATAATGGATTCCTCAAAAGTAATGATTACATATTTTCTTTCAACGGTTGTGTTCCATTTCATAGTTTTTTGTTTTTTATTTATGCGATTCGTATGTCAAAAAAACCCAATTTTATTTTATTCTGTTTTATTTTCTTCTCTATATTTAGGACTCGGCGGACGAGGGTTATGTCATATGTTCTTCTGTGACGGATATAAAAGCGCATGTATATCAATTTTCCTGATTCACTTTAACATGTACATGTATATGTATCAAAAAAATAAAAGAAAAAAATGAAAAATAATTGAAAGGCATTCATCATATCGTCATCATCATCATCACTTTTTTATTACGGCCCGGAGGACCGGGCTGCTCTATACAAATAAGTTTCAGTGTTGGTGTATGGGGATTGTGGTGGGAGTAGTTATGTAAGTTTCTAAATATTTAAAAGATTGTTTATCAGAATGTTCTTTCCGTTTTTAAATTACGAGATACATATTAATATATTTACTTCCATAAAGTGAATCTTAAAAATATATATGTTTTTCATATTTAATATATAAAGTTACTTATAATTTACTATCGAGACAACGACAGGTCCCTTTTTTTAGAACATAGAATTTTACTTCTCGGATAAAAACGTACTCTGCACAGTGCGTGTATTTTATTTTATATTCTAAAATTGAAAATTAATACATTTTTAAATATAAATGATGCGTATGTCTAACTTCAATATCTATTTTATGCAGCCAACATTTACTTGAGGAATTGATAAAGTTTAAAATGGTATCGTTTTTGATTGGTTTTTATCCGACTACAAGTTTTTTTTTTTTTTAAATATTTGCGACTATCATCTCCATCAATTATACGCATGCCTTTTGTACACATATCGAAGCGATTTGTTGATCAAGATTTATTTTCGTTGTTTTCTTTATATTTTTCCCGGGCGACAGTTGATGGTTACATCAATGTTTTCTTGTTAATATGTTGACGGTGCGACTTATCGTTTTCAGTTTTCATTTAGATCGGACTCGTCAAACCGCACCTGACTTTTGATGCGTATAAGACTCTGACGTCATATATGACGTCGACGTCGTTTGCATGTTTCTTTACCAATCTGAAGCCTGAACAAGACTGATTTCAATCGGTTTATGATAATTTTTCTGCAATAAACAGATGAATTCATTAAGGTCAAGATTTAGTAAATGAAAGATGCCTACAGATTTATAAAATTTGAGAAATGATTCCCTTTAATGATCTTTTAAAATTTTTGCTTGGTAAGATGAGGTGTTTCGGGGCATAATTGGTAAGTAAACAAGATGAAAATCATATGTGAAACTGTCATTTCCAGTGAAAAAATAAGAAAAGCTGTCGTGAATATGGGAGTTTCTTCCATACCAGACAAAGAAAATGTATCCAAATTGCCTACAGTCTTTCAGAAAACGGCAATCTGTATGTGCATGGCCTCTTCTTTAAAGTAATGTCAAATTTAATATAGGTATTGGGACTACTTTTCATGTAACTTCAAATAGAATTCCATGAAAATACTTTATTTTTTATATAATTCTATTAGAGCTCTAAAGTACGGAGGAAAAGAAAATTGAAAGTGATTATGACGTCATAATGGATCTATGACCAAGAAGTTAGTCTATAGACATTTACTAGATCTTGACCTTAAATCAAGGCGAGTTTAACTTTTGTCGGTATTCTCGCGAGAACGTTGCTTTAGCGTTTGTGTACGAAGCGATGTATTGTGGGTCCAAATTACTGCGGAAAAAATTCTATGGAATGAATGTGCAGTAGTCCGAATTTTCTGCTCGCCCAGGCGTTGTAGTTAGAGCTCGCAGTTACGAGTGTCGCTTATCATCATAATTATATTTATCCGTTTAAGGAGAAAGAAAAATATGAAGATGAGAATCCAGGAAATGTATATATGGAATTAGGCACCCCAGATTATGAAAAAATTCAAGACTCTGCAGTACGTTTTTTTCTTCAGCTGATAAAAAGTGAAATCGTTGACTTAATTTACAAATTTTAAAATGAAGCCGATAACTTTTTTCTTTTATCTTTATATAAAAAAATTAATTTTTTTTTTAAATTGACAGCAAATCTGTTGTATTTCCCGTATGATAACATTTTTTAGATATCAAAGGACCTAAATTATTGTAACGTTTAGGTTATTTTGAAACCACACAAGACAGACAAAGGGTATATGATGCCTGTTGAAATTCATGATCCAGGATATTCCAAATTAGTGAGTTTTGCCAAGATATTTATCAATTTTTTATAATAAACTCAAAGTTTAACTTTGTTTTCTTTTTCAATTCTTCAGCTCAAATGTTCATAAAAGAACTGGCCCCAAGATCATTAAAGTGTGAAATACATGAAAATTATTTTTGATTTCTTGAGTCCCATCTTTAGTATGTGCTAATCAGGTGAAAGCTCTGAATAGTACTAATATTCAACAATATGATGGAATGTTTATTTTTATCTTCAAAATACTGTAAATGTATTATATTTAGCGTGTACAATATTTGGCGGAAAGTGATTTTTGAACAAGTTAGCGTAGATTTGATTTAGCGTATTTCTTAATGTTCTTATTAATGTATATATGTTTAGGACATTTAGTTTTGTACTTGAATTAGCGGAAGCTTCTTTCCGCCAAAAACGCTAAAAAGAATACACTGTCAAATGTAATACGTTTACAGTAATTTCAAGAGTTATTTCGGTTTGAAAGTTTGATTCAAATTTGTTCTCAGTTGATGGTATAATATGGACTGGTAACTAATTTAGTCGCAGTATATAATTTTGGTTTCCTTCAACGTTAACGACATCTGTCATATTTCTAACCGAAAAAAAATATTTGGAACTTTAACCCCCCTCCAGTTCCAATATCTCGTTCATTTATTATTTTATTTCTGTATATTCTTTGCTTGTCAACGATATTTTTACCTCCTCACTTTAAATTATGCAACATGACCGTCCTTATATTTCAATGATTTCTTTGAATGTATATTGTCATACTAATTTAATCTGATGTTGCTATTTATTTTGTAATTTTGACCAAGGAATGTTTCAGCAATAAAAACTCTGCAGGAGAATCAAATGATAAATGCACCCCTAAAGTTGTAAATCTCAAAACTGTTAAATGTATTTAAGTGATTTAATAATTGTTGTGAAGAAACTAAATAAATCTTTGGCAACACGATGTTGAGGCAGGGGTCAAAAGTATTTATGACTCTTCAAATTTCGAAGTTATTTACATTTCTTATGATTGTTTGGAGGCACTGACATTTTTTGATCTCAGTATGTAGATATACAGTACTTGAGAAATCGCAAGGTTGTAATGTTTAGTAAATTTCCATAAATTCGTCTTTGCAGGAATCCTTCAAATCATTCCGAATTCAGAATTTAAATAGCATACGAGAAAGATTTGTTCAGCGATTAAAATCTCTCCTTCTGTGCCACTGCATTATTAGGATTTTGGAGATTTTTTTTTAAATAAGTTATTGCATATTATCGTATTTTACAAATAAAAAAGTAAAACTATTGATGAATTATATCTGGATTCTAGAATATCTACTCATCGGATTCGCCATATGAATTACCAGTGCATGTTGTTCGACCTTTTCAAAATGAGACGTCGAGCAAGAAAACTTTAACAGACACCGTAAGCGTTTACTTAGTACATGTATTTACATATTTACATGATTACCCATGAGTTCAATTTGTCAATACAAATCCTCTTGAGATTCATCCAACATCACCAGTTCAATCTTAAAATACATAAATACACAAACCCTCTCACACACACAAATCATTAAGTATATCAACATGATATACAAAATAAAAAAATATTATGAAAAACCATTTCAAAATATTCTAACTATTTTTTTTTATAATTATATTTAAAACACCTACGATCGACAGCAAAAAACAAAACATAAATATTTTTAAAATTTCAATTTTCTATTTTGAAAGTCCTTTCAAAAATCGGAATCAAAACCGCCCCTTCCAGAAAGGTATAAGGTGAAATCCAAACGAAGCAAGAGGCCATTTTTGATTGGCTGCGTCATTTTCATTTTGACGATAATAACCTGCGCCTTGGTGGTAGTTTTGTACATCATCAAAAAAGGTAAACTATCGTATATTACCTTTTGAATAAAAAGTGCACCAAAAACTCCCAAATTTTTAAAATTGTACACTAAGTATTCCGTTATTTGGGTTATTTTTTGTCTGCAGATACACCTGAAGGCAAGGCAGATTCTCAAAACCCATCAACAGGTGAATTTTAGATGCGTTGTAAGGGACACCAACCCTCAGCCAGGAAGGATAACTCTTTAACTTTTAATTAAATTCAAGAAGTCTTAAAATGAAGCTTGAAAATTAAATCTTTTCATGCAACAATTTTCCTTATATGCCTCTCAATGTGCTTCAAGGTTCTTTGCATAGCTCCATAAATCCCTTCTAATTTCATATCATGTTAATAAACATTGGTATCTTTTACGTGATAAAAATTTCTACTTTTAATTAGACCTTTCTGAGAAGTTCAAAGAACCTTGAAACACATTGAGAGGCATGTAATGAAAATTGTTGCATGAAAAGATTCAATTTTCAAGCTTCATTTAAAGACTTTTTGAGTTAAATTATAAATTAAAGAGTTGACCTTCCTGGCTTAGGGTCGGAGTCCCTTAAATCCAAATGAACGTTTAAATATTTTTTTTTCTATTTCGTAGATTAAAAAAAACACACGAATAAAAAGTTATAAATTGATATATATAACTCTTTATTCCGATTCAGAATAAATTTTATAAACAAATTGTCATTGATAAACATTTAAAAGGGAATACCACATTGGATACGACCACTATGCCAAGAACGTCTAAGACAACGGCTTCGACAACAACTGGACCGATTACAACATCAAGAACAACGAGCATTTCAAAAGTGACAACAATAACGACAACATCAACTACTACATCAACATTAGGTCCAGACAAATCCAGTAAGATAATTATTATTATTGGTCACTATGTTTGACCTGAAATATTTATCCATTGAATTCCTATTTTTTGATGTCGTCGGTCTTATAACACACATGGCCGTGCCGACAAATTGAATATCGTGCGTCAGAGCGGTATGATAATTTGTCGGCACGACCATGCAGGTGTGTTATAGGACCGATGACATAAAAAAAAAGAATTCAATGCTTATATTTACAATATCTAAGTCTCTTTCATCATTATTTTTTTATTTCGATATTCTTTGATATGAATTTAGCGCATTTCAGATCTGGTGTGCTTAATAGACGTTAGAGCCGTTTGAGGCGTTAAAAAGTTAAATAACGTTAATGAATATCGCGAGGAAAAAATGACAAATTAATTCTAAACGCACAGTTCTTTTTTTACGATAACTTAACAGGGTATTTGATTTTATTTAATTCAGAGTTTAAAAAATGTATGTAGTTCCCACTGTGTATTCTCCCGCGCGGTGACAAGGTTTCGCGTGTGTTACATGTATAGAGATTTCAAAGACGTAGACTTCTAATGGATTTTATAAAGAAAATTACACTAAATGTAAATATATGGAGATAACAAACATTTACATGTATAATGTCATTGCCTGTCTTTTTAAATATCTTTATTACAATTTCTGTATATAGTTTTACAATTTTCTCAATTTGATAAAAGAATATAGATTTTAAAAATCATTCAAGTTGATTTCATCGTAAACAACTTCATTTTAAAAAAAGCTCTAATCATTTTAAGTCTTGATTTACAAATCTACAAATTAATTATGCATGTATATATATTAGCAAAGTCTTTTAAGGATAATTCCACGCGATGAAGCACTTTTTAATATTTTGTGTATTTTCAGCTGTAGATAAATACAAAGATTGTAAGGAACTACATCAGCAAGGTTTTACCACTAACGGGGTGTACACAATATACCCGTACCTCCCTGTTACTAAACCAGTAAAGGTTTACTGTGATATGACAACAGATGGAGGAGGGTGGACGGTAGGAATCACAGTTAATTATTGATGATTTTTAATGGTGATGACGGGCTGTTATTTTGGATAGGATAATGCAAGAAAAATAATCATTCATTACAAAATTCCACCGATTGCTCGAGATTCATGATTAAGGAAGAGGCTTTAGTGCAGTGGCTGGAAAGTTATTGTTGACAAACCAATCGTGTAGAATCGTTCGTGTACCGTGAGCGATCGTTCGTGTAACCATGGTAACGTGCAAGATCGTTCGTGTATCAGATTCAATCGTGTGCGTTTTTAATCGTGCGAGATGGTGCGTTTAGAATCGTGTAAATTTCGTTTTGTAAGTTTTTATCGGAATGTTAATTGTAAAATCAGCATTTCCCTTGTTTGTTTTTCTTAATTTATTAATTAAAATCCAAATAAAACGAAAAAGCGCAATTTACATAATAGAATGCAGAACGAACTAATTATCGCCCGTAAACAAGCAATATAGTAAGTCGTACAATATTAAGTTCTCGTCAAATAGCGCGATCAATATAATATTGTGATAAACCGTACTTAGATCTTTAACGCCTTTTTGAAAAATCTGATTTTAATTATTATTTACTTCTTATTGTGGTAAAGATAATCTTTAAATCAATTCATTGAAAATAAATATATTTTTCTTTTTTAAAAGAAATGAACATTTCTCAATGCTTATATTACTAGTTAGTCGACAAATACATATGTATACATGGACACGGCATTATTTTCGGGAGTTTTGATTATCTGTGTTTATCTTTTGAGCCTATTTGTAATTAATTAATTTTAAATTTCTGCAAATAAAAAAAGTTGAATAATTGGCAAGTTTATCAGACATTGAATTATTGGAAACACAAGCATAAAATTTGTAATTATAATTTAAGTCATTCCATGCTGCCATTTTTGTTCAATCGTATCCCCCTTTCTTCACATCATGATATCAAATTCAATCAAATTATACGATCCACATACATGTACATCGTCTAATAGAACGAACAAAATCCGTTTTTTTTATCGGAGAATCACCTTAGAAATAATTATTTTTAATCTAAAATATTACGTCTTGCATATATTTAGTTACAGAAATATCATTTTCCGTTTTTTCCTTCAAAGTCTATGAAATAATATTGATAATTCTTTGAAATCTTAAATAAGTATTAAGCCGTATTTCGTTTTGAAAATATTGATTCCTAAATATTTTGAACTATTTTGAGTGAAGAATCGTGCGTTTGCGTTAACAATCGTGTTAGATCGTGTAACGTGTAGAATCGTGAAAGTGAAGGATCGTTCGTGTAACAGGTTTAATCGTGCGTTAATCGTGCGGAATCGTTCGTGAAACGTGATCGTTCGTGTAAGTTGTCAACAATAACGTTCCAGCCACTGTAATTAACATGACAATGCTGTTGCGCATTTGGGCGTGGCAATCATTTAAGCATCTAACCAAATAAATGAAAGCCTCAGCTTCCAATGAAATTAAAGTGCGTATCTTGAGGTTTGTTATTTCCTTCGTCAGGTATTTCAACATAGAAAGGATGGATCCGTTGACTTTTATTTGGATTGGGTTGACTACAAATCAGGGTTTGGACAAGTAAAGGGAGAACACTGGCTCGGTATGTACAAGATTTGGGAAACATTCCTGTAATATATATAAATGCGTTTATCAGGAGATAGAAATAAAGGCATCATAGGTAGTGCAAATCGTTCATAAAACGGTTTATTCCGATAATTTTGATAACGAAAAAAGTTGTAAACAACGATTAGAAATTTTCATAACGTTTTATTCTAATGCAATTGTTTTGTAAAACACTTTTTTATTGGCTAATGCACTGATGTTTGAAACAGAAAAACGAGCAATAACGAGCGTGAAAGCTTATTCATTGTGACGTCATAATAGAGCGACGCAAAAACACAATGCTCCGTAACGTATTTCATGTAACAAAATTCATCTAAATAAGACGTAAACAAGAAAAAAATGCATGGATTGCATTAGAATGGGAATAACTGATCTTCTAATTTGGTATTTGCGACCGTTAATGCTGATTTAACGGTCTCAAACATCCGTTTTACCGGCTCCGCTTACGCGTCACCGGTAAAACTCAGTTTGCGACCGTTAAATCAGCATTAACGGTCGCAAATACCAAATTAGAAGATAGTTATTCCCTAATTTTTGTTATGATTGTTGAAAAAGTACAATATATTTTCCCAAAAAATCCCCTTTCTTTAAAGATATTTTACAAAGAATTGTTAGAAATATTCTCAAACGTTGAGAAAATTTTAAAATCATTACGGTTCAATTATTTTTTTTTAAATATCATGAACATGTTCAAAAAAACAAACAAAAAACCCAAAGCACTTTGAGAGTTTTGCATTTGAAATACTGGTCCCCTACTAAGTTAAAAATTGAAAATGCTATAATTCTGTCAAAAATCGTTGAAACGGGAAGAAATGAAATTTTGATCTATGATTAACTCATCAAGGAATTGCCACATACCAAAAATCAGCTCAATATCTGCAAGCATTTAAAAAAAGTGCGGAAAGCCCTGAAAATATGAAAAAGTCTTAATTTCGTAAAAAGTCAGTTAAGCAAAACGAAATAAACTCTTAATCTGTAACTTATCATGATACACATATACAAAAATTAGCTCAATATATGAAAGCTTTGAAAATGATGTGCGGAAAATTGGGACAGACTGAGAGACAGACAGAGGATCAGCTAAACGGATAGACAACCTCTTGGGAAACATATAGTAACTTCCACTTCCACTGATAGGAATCAAAGCTAACATATGATATAACGATACAAATAATTTTTCATTACATTTTCATTACGTATTTTTAGTCCCCTACCGGAGAAACTGGGGGAAGGCTTAAGGTTTCCTCTAAGTATGTTCGTCTGTCTGTCTGTCCTCTGTCTTTCTGTCAGTCTGTCCAACTTGGTTTTCTGCACTTTTTTAAACGTGTACAGATATTGAGCTGATTTTTAGTATGTGAATGTATCTTGATAAGCTTCAAATACAGTTTTTATTTCGTTTCTCTTCAATGATTTTTTTAGAGAATTACGGCCTTTTAAATTTTTAAATGGTTTTTCCGCAATTTTTTCTAAACGCTTGAAGAAATTGAGCCGATTCGGATTTTTGGTATCTGAGTTACAGACCAAGTTAACTTTTTGTTGCATTTTTATGATTTTTTAGTAAAATGACAGAAATTTTTTTTTTTATATTCATTAAACTGTAAGGGAAACATTATGTATTTTTAAATACTTTTATACTGTATTATAATATTCCCGCCAGGAAATGATCACTTACATCAGCTGACGATGCTTGGAACGTCCGATTTCTATGTTCGTTTGGAAAGATTTAATGGTGGTTGGTACTACGCCAAATATAATGATTTCTTGATTTCCAACGAAACAGGTGGTTATAGGTTGAGACTTCAAAGTGGATCATATCAGGGGAATGCAGGTGAGCAAGTGGAGGAATATTGACAAGATAAGTTAAGGTTAAAGTCTGGAAATATAGCAAAATTTAGATTTTTTTATACATGAAAGACGACCAAGATTGACTTTAATGTATGGGATGGATATACTGTATTATACTTTCATGTAAATGACTGGATAATTCAATCTGATTCGTCGAAAAGAAACATTTGTTCAAAATACTTTTACACGTTGAATGATGAGATCACGCTCTCCAGCATAGCAACGGTCAACATTGCTTGACGATGGATATTTTTTCAAAAAATTACGCAGAATTTTTTAACAGATTGTTCAATATCATACATAATGAATATTGAAGTTGTGCCTCGGTTGACAATGGATTAAGGGTGTATGTGTAAAGATTTCAATGTTACACTAACTACATGCAGTATTTATATAATGTCATTTTACTTATAGTTGATAAGAATTGATTAAATGTTCTTTACGGACCGTTTGCAACTTATTAAACTCGTTAAACTCGAAAACTCAATATAATTTAAGGGGATTCCATGGAAACTCACCAACAAACAACCAATACAAATGGATACAAGTTCAGCACACGTGATGTAGATCATGATTCTGCTCAAAGTAGCTGTGCAGTGGCCCGCAAAGGTGCCTGGTGGCATAATGAATGCACATGGGCAAATTTGAATGGAATGTACGGGAACGGAATTTGTGTACTACTTGGGAATTGTAATTTTTGGTATTCATTGACAACCAGCTTTAGTGGTGTAAAAACTTCGTTTATGATGGTTCGCAGAGTTTGAATTGAAGATTGACAAAAACTTAAAATTTCTATGGTTGATTTCTTGTTAACTTAAAAATCATTATGGTGTTTCACATGTATATTTTGCCGTTCATGGGTTTTCTCCCTTATGCAGCTTTACTTTCTGTCTCCAAATTATGCATATTGGACAAAAAAACTCTGAGTGAGGATCAAAACGTATTAAATATATTGTTGCTTGTTGTATTTAATTTTCACGATCTCTTTGAAAGATTATCCCTGCTTTTTGCCCCCGCAAAATTATTATTTCATTCCAAATTAGAAATGGGAATAGAATTTTCTCAAATGTGAGAATTACGTTTTATAAAATTAAAATACATGTATAAATTTAATAAAATTATATTAGTATTTATATGTCCATAAATATTTGGCGTTCTTCGCAATACAATTATATCACGGTCAAATAGTTATTGGAGAGCCATATCATCCCCCAATATTTTTCCTCATAGATAAATTCAATATAATTTCTTTAAAAGGGTAAAAAAAAATATTATCTCCACTTCATCAGCTGCCAGTCAAATTATAATATAAAAGTAATTACCCATTGAATATCAATCCCAGACATGCTGGATATATGATTTGTAATACCCGACTCGATCGTCCGTCAATTTGCTCTGGCTTGTTGGCATCGGATCGGTTGTCGTGACGTAACGAAAAAGTGAAAATAACCGCCACGTTTGTCAGTTGATATGCTATGTTGAACCATAGAAATTTAGATGGCTTACCCAAAAATTGAGATTTTTTTAAAAAGGATGGAATTCTTAACACAGGGTACCCACTTTCGCCTATCATATTTTTATAAATCACATGCTTTACATTTTTATTTTATATAAATGTCTATACATATATAAAAAAACTTGAAAGTTTATTACTGCCAAATTTCATTCCGAAATTCCGTATACTCCCTGAGATAGTCTGAAATTGATTCTAAAATTGACCTTAGTTGTTTTTCCCTAGACATCAGCTTTGGCCTTTGCAAAGTTATTATTTTTTATTCAGTGGGAACGAAGGGATAAAATTTCCCCGATCTTTATTCTATGATCAATGAAGGGTGGGAGTCTGTCTATCTTCAATACTGTCAATTGCCGTTCATATTGATTCTGTAATGCAAGGTTAAAATGTTGAATAAG